AAATAATAAATAAGATGAGGTGGAGTGAGCATCTCTGATTTTTAACCACTTCTTTAAGGTTACGAGCTATAACTTTTAAATTACTTTTCTTCTCAAATTAAAAAAAATGCCAATATCTTGGTTTTGGTATTGCAAAATCCTGTACTTAATCATATCTATGGTACAACCTATAATTTGTACATATCCTCTGTCTTCCTTCAACGAGTGTATTGTGTAACTGCTGAACTGGAAGATCCTATGCACAAGATTTTAAAAAAATATTTAGCGTTAAAGTTAGCACAAGTTCATTAATGAAGTTTCATCTACCTGCTTGTAGGGTAGTGGGGATAATTAAATCTGTTCTGATCTTACAATTGTGTTTTACTTGGATGCATACATATACATCTTTTCCATTACTTACTACTGTGGTAGTGGTAGTGCTTCAAGGATTGTTGACCGACAGAAAGGCAAGATACGTCAAATTTTAAAATATTATCAGAGATCCTCAGTAAAGACAACTGAAGGTTCCTGATAACGTGCTGACTATAATTAGTATTCCACTGCAACATTCAGCCACAGGAAAAGTAGCTGGGTGTCCTTATTTTTATTTTATTTATTACTATTTATCCTTATTTTTAAGTTTCTGACAACAGAAAAAATTACTCATTTTGGGTACGATTTAAACTGGAACTGCTTTCTTCTGTGATGTGTTGCTCTGATGGTATTTCCCCAAATGCAACTGCTGCCCTGCAAATCAGGAATTCCATTGGGTGGTAGTTTTCAAGCCCTGGGATCCATCCGCATCTGCAATTTATATGCATGTCTATCCAAGGCTTCCCCAATCTATACTTTTCAATTGTGTCAGGCTACCGTTCCCATAATTACCAGTTGGCATGGCTGATGATGATGGGAGTTGTGGTCCAACTCATCTAGAAGGAACCAGGTTAGGAAAGATTGCTCTAGGCAGAAGTGCGTACCTGCGATAGGTGCCAGTTTGCAGAAGTAGACTTTAACCCTGAAGGAAAAAATCTTAACTTGTAATTTTTTCTATCTTCTTTACAGCTGTGAGAGAGGCTATACCGGGGAAAGATGCGAGCGGTTGGACTTATTTTATCTAAGAGGAGATCAAGGTCAAATTGTGGTGGTTTCTTTGATAGCTGTTATGGTATTGCTTATCATCCTGATTGCATGTATCTGCACTTGCACTCAGTAAGTAGACCCAAATGAAAGTTTGGCTTCTGTGTGTATTATCATGAAAGTACAGATGTAGCTATTAAGTTAACCAGCCTTTAACAATTGTACCTTTTGGAAGTTTCCAGTATAAGACACTCACGCGCACACACACACACCCTCTATGTACAAAGAAAGTAAAAGTGAATTTACTATTCTTTATTGAGATAAAAGGTTCATCCTCAATCCCAGCTATGTGGATCCAATATATTCTTCAATATTGTTCCTTTATATAAAGCTGTCAAAAGAACACAAAAAGAGATTTCTTAAATTAAATAGTTCCACATCTATTTTTTTTCACAGTGGGTAGATACCTTTAGGTATAAGTACAATCATTCTGTTACTCTGTTGCTGTAAAGAAATGGTATTTCATGGTAAACTCCATGTAATTCTTTTTAATATAATACAAAAATGGACAGAGAAATAGATAATAAATTCTGTGTAACCTGGATAATGTACTTTCTGTTACCATAGCTTTTTAATAGCTGCATCATACTGCTGACTTACATCCTGTTATGAGTGACCCATAACAGGACTAAAGAAGCCTTTGATCTTGTCTAAGCATGGTGGTTCAACTTACAATGAACTAAGAGATTTTTTTCCCATTCATATGGCTAAGCTTCACTTTCCCCATTCCATACTTTATTTTTTATACCTAAAACATGTTACAGTTATTTATTTTTATTGACTCAGTTTTACAACTTAACAGTATATACTGATTCTTGATTTTGTTTTTTGTGGGTTAAGTTATTCCTCCCAACTTCAACTGCATATTTGGTAGCCTTCTTTCTGAGCCTGATAGACCACATGTGACCTTGTATAAGTTGCTGAATGGCATCTCTAATATTCCTCAGTACCATATTGGCTGGAGCTGCTAGGAATTATAGGTTAGCAATATCTGAAGGGGAAGAGATTTCCCCAGCCTTGTTCTAAGTCCTCATCCAAGCCATTTATAAAAATATTGAAGACCAGAAAGTCTAGAACCAAGACCTGCGGCACTCCACTTAAGAAACCCCTCCAGGTTGATACAAAACCATTAATGAACATTCACTGGGAATGGTGGTTCAGTGAGCTGAAATTGAACGACTAAAAATACAAGACTATTTTTTATTATTACTCTTGTATTTTTGAATGTATGAGGACGTGGCAGTGGATAGAGGATAGGGCCATGTGTGCAGTCCTTCCCATACTCCCTCTGACCTCCATAGAGTCAGCTGGCAGACCTTGTGCTTGCTTGAGACAAGAACAGGGCTCCATGTGTTTGGAGATGAATAAAGGAAGTCTCAGATCACACAGCTGCATATGAGTTCACGTGAATGCAGGTGCTGCTCTCCTTTGATTCCAGTTGGCGATAACATTCTCCTTCCTCATAGAGAAAACCTTGCACTGTTTTTCCAGATTTATAAGAAATCAGTTGTTTACAAAATGTGCATATTGGTCAGATCAAATAATTTCTGATCATAGGTAACAAATTTGCACTATGAATCTGTGACTCATAGACTTAATTTTCAACTTCCTTTCAAAGTTATTGTCGAAAAAAACGTAGAAAGAGGAAACAGGAGGAAACCAGGACATATGATAAACGGCAGCCTATTAAAACTGATGATATTCTTGAGACGGATATTGCATGAAGGTAAAGAAAGCTCTGAAATTTTACATGCTAGAAGTACAAGAATACAAACCTAATGTAGGGTTAGTTAATCTCTTTTATTGCCAAAATTAATTAACTTAATTTGGAGTCATAATTTTTTTCTTTAAATGTAAATTTGTTTTAGTTTAATGGATTTGTTATTACTGTTATTGAATCAATGTTTTATGGTCATGTAATGGGACAGCAGTATTTCTCTATGTGCACATGTGAATCATTCATAATTAACTGATTGTTTTGACATGCATCTCAAATTATTGATATAGTGGCTATAATCTCCTTTGTTTACCCAAATATATATACCTGATACTGACAGAGAGAGATGTAATTAGGACATGGCTTTACTTTGCTTCTTAAGATATTTTTCTATATTGAGGGTTTCTTTTCTTCATAAATATTATTTTCTTTCATATAGAAGAAAACAATAATGAGGAAAAAATCATCACATTCAAACGGAATATATTTATATAAGTTACACTGTATATGTTTAATTGAGAATGTGCACAATGAAATTAAACCAGAAAATAAGGATTATTTTTTGTTATGATGACAGCAAAAAAGGGCCCTTCAGAACATGTGCAGCAGTGTCATTTCAATGTCAGTATCCATATAGGCCATATAAAGAGAGACCTGCTTGACTGGCACTGGCTGCCTCTCCCATTTTGCAAGCCATAGTAAGGGATTTTGCACATTTGCTCTCTGCTCGCCTTGACTTGCAAAGGGAGATGAAAGCAACTGAAAAGTTATTCTCCCAATACTTGCAAAAGCCCTGGAAAGGCTTTTTATGAGTGATCAAGGGGGATGCTGGTTTTTCTGTTCTTTGAGTTTATGACAGACACTTTAAAAAACATGTGAATGATAGTATCATGCTTGTGCTGAATTCACCTCACCATCTGTTTGTGGCTTTTTCTTTATCAGAGGCTGAACAAAAAAAGTAGTTGTTTTGAGCCAATGATTTGTTGAACTAGATCATAAAAGCTACTCTATCATGCTTCTTCTTATGAGATGATTTTTCAGAAACCTTTTTCTCTAATCATACATTATATTGCACCAGTATGATGAATAATAAGAATGTAGTTCTCTATACACTTATCATATTAAGTGACTGCAAGGAACAGAGAGGGATTTATATCTGCAGAGGTTTTGAACTATGCATTAACAATTCTAACAAATGCTTTTTTTTTCTTAACTCCACAGGTTAACAAAGGTGCCTGCTGGCAGGTTCCAAAGACTTGTGCCCTTTTCCTTTTGATGACTTTCCTGAGGACTAGTGACTTGAAAATAAATAAGGATAAATAAACACGGGTATATAACTTACTGTTCACTTGAAACTATTTGTGATATCTGATAGAATGATCTAGTATTGGCAATCCAGAAATTTTCAGATATGTCTGAAAGCTAAGTCAGTATTTGACATTTACCTCCCTTAAATTTGTCAAGTTGAAAAGGAAACAGGTGTTTTATCTACAGTCAAAACAGGTAAGATATCTGGTAGTATTTTTATGTTCTACGGTAACTAAAATGGGCACCTATGTCAAGGTTGCAGTATTACAAACAACTGTAATTTTAATTGGTGATTTAATCTTTTGTATGGCTGTTCTGAACTACCTGTTTCCTTTTATATTTTGCTTTGGTGCCTTTTTTACTGAGAGGTGGAATATAACCATAATAATGTGGCTTTGCAAAATTTCACTGTTCTGAGTCCATGTCTTAGGTTGGACTTGGGATGGTATCATGCATAGACAGGTGAGGTGATATACAGTTTATTGGCAAATTGCTGCAGGTTGGTAGTATAATTCACTCCCCATGTTGCATTGTAAGGGTTGCATTGCCTACCCTTTCTGCCCCGCTTAACTGAGGAGGGGGGTGTCCTTGTAGCCCCTCTATGAACCGCCAGGATTTAGTCTTTGGGCAGGCCAAAAGCTTACTAAGTGAGGATAAATGGGCCTACAGGGTCTGGGGCCGGCCCTAACCTAGGTTTTGTCCCACCAGGGCCTAGCCCTCTCCTAGGAAGCTGCTTTAGTCAGTCTTGGCCTGCCTTGCAGCTGCTCTGGGCCATCAAACCTCTGCACTGGCTCACAGCTGCAGTGACCGCTTTGTTTGGCCTATGCTAGGGGCCATGTTGGCATACCTCATTGCTGTGACCTGTGCAGTGGGCCGCCTCTCCCTCCACTGGCCTGCCACCGAGCCTCTTTCTTGTGCCTTGGTTGCTGTATTACGTACCACTGTAGGGCCTTTTTAGTGGCTTCCCCACCAAATCCAACAAAGGAGCCCTTCCCAGGCGTAGGGCCTCTGCTAAACTACAGGTAGGCCTCTTTCTGGTCTTGACAGGGCTTATCTTTTGGGCTGCGGTTTTCCTTTTGGCTTTCAGCTGCTCAGTTTGTAACTCTATTCATATGTTAGCTGAAAGGAAAAACTTCCAGCTCTCTTTACATCTCATTTCAGCCAGCTGCAATCTACAAAGAAAAAAAATGTCTCCCATGTCTCTCTTCTGGGCTAAAAATTACTGCTCTTCTCTTTGCTGATGTCCTCAGCCTTGTTGGGTGGTAGGGCTCATTTAAAGGAACAGAGGAAGGAGGGGGCTGCAAGATACTCCTTCCTCCACACCAAACAGATTTGTCCACCTCCACATTTTTATACCTAAAGACTGTATGACATATGCAAGTGATAATTTGCAGGACAGCCCTCCAGGGTTTCCATATAGCACAAAATAAATAATCTTTTATGGCTCACTCTAACCACAGTCACCAGGTCTTCGGCACTCGGGAGGTGCCAGGCCTTAGAAGTACAGATTGCGTTGGGGTCAGTGGCAGCATATATGATAATAACTCCTTAGGGGTCAGGCCACCAGCAACTAATTGTGCTGGCCCCTGATCTGGTGTCCTGGAGTTGCACAGTGTGATTTCCACATGCCTTCTAAAGTGTAATTATTCATGTACATAGTGCAAGTCTGTGGGTTACATATAAGGGGTCTTGGTGTATCTATAGCTTCAGAATGTGTCATACCTTTCAATGTACCGGTGGGGGGAGGGAAATGGGAGTCTTACATTATTTTTTCTGAAGCACATTACTCCTCAGCAGCACTGTATCCTTGAGAGAAGAAACTTAGATTGTGTTTAGCAACATGAAAAGAATGATACATCTTATAAGCTATGTAGAAAGTTTTTTGACTTCTTTGTAATGCTTTTATAAATGGTAGTTTGTATCCGTGTTCTAAACCAGCCTTCCCCAGTCTGGTCCTTTTCAAATAAATTGGTCAACAAATACTCGGTTTGATGTCTACCAAATTAGAGATGGCTGTCTTATACTGTTAAGAAGATATATTTCTGTAATTATAGTTTGTCTGTAAACAACAATGAAAGAATCAAAATCTCAAGTGTTGCTAGCATTCTTCATCACAGTCTCTATGATTCACACATGTAGGTTATCAGCCTTTGCAGAGCCCTATTCAGAACTTCCTAGACTTATAAAATTGTTTAGTGGCTGAGTCTTTTTGCAGTTAAGTGCCTCTCCTGTCATACCCTTTCAGTTTGTTTTTAGCCACCACATGGTTGAGTTGAACAACCTTTGGGTTTATCCATTTTTTTCTTCTTGTTTTAACCATCTTTCTACTCTTCCTTAGAGTTATCAGCAAACTTACCCCTCACCCTCTCCAGATAAACATAAATTGTATATTTTCTGCCTTGTGAAAAGCATGCAGTAGTCTGCCAGGCATTCCACTAAACATTGTTAGGCATTTTCTAAAGAGGCTTGTTGCAATTTCTTTTTTTGCGGGCCTATCTTGGGAGCAAGATCTAAAGGTGGAAGATTTTGGAGCTATAACCCTGTGATGATTCTTTTTGGGAAATGATACAGACCATAAACAAGGAGTGAAGTTTTGTCTCCCTTTGTTGCAGGGGAAGTTTTGTACAAAAATAATTTATTTCCAAGCAAAATTGAGAACATCCACTTACTTTATAAATGCTGTCTCTGTGTGCAATTTATTTTATGTGTTTTATGGGTTTATCTTTATAGGTTTCTCTGGATATCCATTTCTAAATCTTATTTACTCTGTATCTTACTCTACAGATTTCTCACTATGTCTGCATTTACACTTTCTATGGGTTTCTGTAAACCTCTTTCCTTTTTTGTTTACAATCTTTAATTGCCCCTGCTTATATTAATTATTGCAGCTTCACCAGCCATGTCCTTTGCTGCTCTCCAGCTGTGGAGTGCAGAGAAACAAAGGTCTTTTTCTGCTCAGTCTGAGTTTTAGTGGCTCTGTGTCCACCCCAAGGCTCACAGCCCTGTTGTTGGGTGGTGTTTTCTAGGCTTTTCAGCCAGATGTCATTTGCCTCTGGTCTGAGCTGCTGCAGGAACTTTAGTATTTCTCAGTTTCTGACTGGGTGGGTGGAAAAGTTTGTTACCAGCACTCATTGGCTTGTTGGCTCTTCTATGGAAGTTGGCATGGCTGCCAGGCTCTGCCCCTATTCTCAGTTTGTGGCTGTGCTTTTCAACCAGCCCCTGTTTCTTCCATGCCTCCAGTTGTCCAGTGCATACTGGCTCTGGTTTCATACACTCATCAAGCTAGCTTTACCCTGGGCACTTTTTGCTTTGCTCAGATCCTGTATGCACCCTTCATCTGCAGCACCGTCCTTTTTCCTTCTCTCCAACACACATAAAAATGCACTTCCTCCTGACATATCAATTTTAGGTTCCATAGGTGCAGCACAGAGGTGGTCCAGCTAATTTGATTGCCTCAACCCTGGAGGGAAAGAAAAGAAAAAGGGAAGAAAGGGCATGTGCTGACTGCTGTGGGACTGTTCTTCCATAAATCCAGTTGTCTTTCTCCAAGGCTTCTACTATATCTCCACATTTATCTGTCATCTCCCTTGTCTCTTCAAGAGATCAATTATATTCTCCACTACCTGTGGTAATCCTCCAATTTCAGCTGCCTCATTATTGGTACTAAAGATGTCACTCACTAAGGGTTCAAAGCCTTCTAAAAGACCTGCCCTGCCAATTTCAAGCAAGGCACAGAGAAAAAGAAGGAGAAAGTTGTGTCCCTGATTCTTGTTCTAGCAGTGGGTTTCTTAAACTCTGCTGCTACTGATCCAACCATTGATAGGGGTTAATATTGGAAGAGTGGATTCAGGACAGATCCCCCTTGGAATCTACATCTCTTATCTATCAGGATAATTGAAGCCAAAACTTTACCCTTTGTCTGTCTCAAGATCACCAAGGTTTCTCTTAGTTACTTCATTCCCACTTTACTTATGAAAGATATGTCTTTCTGATTTCAGTTAGTTCCATACTATCCTGGTCTTCTATGGTCCTCTTAGCACCAAGTTTTTCAAAATTCTGAGCAGTGGATTTGTACTTCCCTGAACATCCCAAGATCTAGTGAAACAAACCATTCCATTCTGTATTTTTCTTTAATTCCATTATCCAGTGACATCTTGGACTGACAACATAATGAACAGCTTTTGCTGTCTCCTCTGGATTCTTATCTCCTTCACAAAATTCCTTTGGGCAAATTTCACAGCCAACATGACCTCTTACCCAAAGTTACTATCTTGTAGAAGGAGAGGTGACTCACATCTATAGATTTACAGGATGTATATTGGCATATAGCTGTGGTTCCCTACATCACTTCTTCATTTTATAGTAGAATTGATCCATTTATCAATTGCATGTCTTACTATTTGGCCTCTCCACAGAGTTTTTCATTGCATTTCTCTGCCTCTAATGTATATTTCCCCCTTATCTGGACAGACTCATATTTCCATATTTATTTATCATATTTATAGACTACCCATGCTGAACTATCTTGCCTCTTAGCAAGTTCTTCTGCTCCTATAATGCCCCAGCCTCTAAGTGAATGAAGAGAATTCTTCCCTTGTAGATTTTGCCATGTACAGAACAATGATAGGTAACTCCAGAGGACATACTTTTCTGCCATTACAGACTCTGTATGCTTCAGGAACTTATACACACAATTTCCTCCTTTACAAAAGCCAGAACCCACATTGTTCTCCCAACTGCTGGGAATGGCTGTGATATTCAGAAGAGCCCTTTACAAGCATAGTATCTCTGTTCCTCTTCTGTATGTAGACATATGATAGATCTCCTTGTTTCTGGTCTTTATCACAGAATCTCTCCACCAATGGCTGTTTTCAGTCTCATCAGAGGTATTCCTTTTGCACCTCCTTCCCTAATGTCTCCTCACCACCAAATTTATGGGAAAGACTTGAGGTTCAATTTGGCGACTGACTCAATTTAAATCCATCTTCTCAAATATAAAGGAAAGAACTTTAAAGGTGGTTTATAATATGCCAAATAAACTTATATGTTCAAAAATCAGTGTAATATTTTGGGTGAAACAGCTGTCATGCTAAGAATATGTTCATACTTATGTGGTGAAAAGTGGCCCCTTTTGGGGAAAAACTCTTTCAAATTTTACATACTAATACCAGTCAGCAAACTGAAAAAAACACAACTGTTGGCTTTGCTACAAATGTATGATAAAATAGTAACTATTTAATGTAGTTTACATAGTATTCTCAAAAATTATAATTACTAGATACCTGTTAACTAAGATGATAATACACTGGTACCTCGGGTCACGAACTTAATTCGTTCCGCGACTCTGGTCGCGACCCGAATTGGTCGCGACCTATTTTCCCATAAGGTTCAATGTAAATACAGTTAATCCGTTCTGACCCCTCCGAACTTGGTCGCCAACCGATTTTGGTTGCGACCCGG